CACCAACCAGTGTTAGCTGAGCACAGGCATATTCTGTTACTTTTTGGAGCATTGCTAAACTGTTCCAGTTCCCTGGCTTTGTGGATCACTTTATGTTACAGATGGAGGACCTTAAAGTTTGCAGATTGCCTTAAAAATTATTTTTATTAACGCCAGCTGAAAGCAAAAGTAAAAAACTTCAAGTATTTACCAAATTCAAAGTAGACAATACAGTATAAAAATTCTGCGCAAGAGTTTTGTTGTTGTTTTGATTTAAAAAGACACAGGATAAATATGCTGCTTCTCCTCCTTTCTTTGTAAGGCTCATGAACAACCGATTCCTGGCTACTCCACCTCCACAGAGCCCCTAGGCTACTGCCCCTGCAATCTTTTTTTTCTTGTATATCCTCGGTGCCTCTTCAGTACTTAACTGTGATTTCGAGCCCCAGCTGAGCCTCTGCGTTCTCCTCCCTCCCAGGGTTTCCTAAATCTGCCTGGGGGAAAAGTCCCTTTACCAGCTTCCACCAGCCTTGAAAGGGCTGAATCCCCTCCAGCGTGACTGAGCGTCTTAATCACCCAGGCAGCAAACACAGAGTCAATAACCACGTGTAATCAACTCTACCAGTGCTAAATTATTCAGCTGGAAGCGAAACACTGCTCTCACCTAATAAGAAAATGTTTGTGTCTTAGAGACGTGGTTTTTGCATGTATTGCCAAGAATAAAATCTCTGTAAACTGAATATCCTGATTTATAGGAGATGGCTCATTGCAAGTTGCTAACTGGACATGATACCGCAGCATTCACGTGCTCTGGGGTGATAACGGGGTTCAGATGAATTATCCCCACATGCCATCTGGAGGAGTACCAGGGCACTTTTTTTTTTAAACAAATCCTTGATCCCTTGTTCTGAGAGAATTTAAGAAGAAAACCTCACAGAAACTTTCTGGCAAAACAGCTTCAGAGGAAAAAGCTTGTTACTCGAAACTAAACTATTAGCATTCGACCAACTTATGCAGAATGCAGTGAATCAGAAGTGGAGTCAGTGAGGAACATTTCCTAAATCTCTGGTGAACAGCTGGATGGCCAGTCCTGTGTCCTGCAGGGCTGGTGATTCATCCTGGAGGCGCAGGGCCCCAAGTGGCACAGCCTTGGGCCAGCTGGCCACGCCAACGCTGGCACTGCCTCCCATGGCCAAAGGCTGAACTCCTCGGCTAGCGAAGAGCCGCGGCTCGTTCAGGCTGGGAGCTGGCAGCCCAAGCATGGAAACATCACAGCTCCCAGAACCACTCTGCAGGCACAGCCCCAACAGATCTGCAGTGTTCACGGACCCCAGGTCCCCAGGTTCGGGCACCCCAGGAGCACCAGCAGCTGCCTGGTGACAATGACACCCCTGTCAGGTTTATGGTTCCTATTAACAGTGGTGGAGCTGACAAGCATTTATACACAGCTCAGCAACCAGGGGGATGAGAGGGCAGGATGGTGTCCTGGGGAGCAGAGTTAGAGCCTCCAGCCTCATTTTGGGATGTTTCTGAAAACATTTCTTTTTTTATTTTATTTTAAATTCCCATGCTGAGATTGCTTTTACAAGTTTGATTGGACCACAACCCAAAAAAAAAAATTAAAAACCCTTCTCACAAATGGAAAGCCCTGTGCTTCAGCCAGCTCCACTCTGCAGTTTAATTGCTTTAAAGCAGAGGCCATGTGTTGTGTTCTCTCAGAGGTACGTGGGAAGGTGAAATGAAAGAGTGAAAACAAAAAATCAGCCCTCAGAATACAATGACATAGGACTGCTATAACATGAAGACAACTCTCAAGGCCAATCCTTCCTTTCCTGTGCCTCTTGTACAAGCACATCTCCCCAGCTGATGCTCTCCTGCTCCCCTGAGCACACAGCCACGGTCCTCGCTTACAGCACACGCAACCTGAAAGGCTTTGTAAGTTTAATGGCATGGTCATCTTCCCCACAACAGCATCTCACAGGGGTTAAGGCATCACTTTCCAGCCTCCTGAACAAATTAACCTCCCTGCTCACAGGGTTTATTTTTTCAAGTCTGTACTTGGTGATTTCTGATGAGATTCATAAGGTTAGGGCTTAAAAGTTGCCCTCTGTATTTCATTTTGAAGCAGTGCATCCCTTTAGCACTGCCAGATTTATTATTCCACAACCTGGGACTGTACATCATGTGTTCAAGGAAGATCCAAAATATTCTGGAATGAGCTTTCCCATCACACCTCAGCTGCTGTTGGACACCAGTGTTGACTACCAGTACTCAGCTGAGTAATCAAGTGCATTTTAATACCACATAGATGAGGCCTTTAGACTCTTGCCATAGCCACCTTAGAGTGGACAAGCTCTACTGAAGAGCAGCCTCCCTGTATCCCTTGTACTGATAAATTCTTTCTGAGATCTTAGGATCTGGGGTTCATATGTCTTATTGTTTTGTAGGCACTTACACACCTGTGCAGGCACAAAATGAAGATAGACAACAAAAAAAGGAGGAAGAAGTGGATGTTCATGCCTTGTTTTCTCAGAGAAACGTCTCTGCAGCTGTGCAGCACACAGACACTGTACCTGGAGATCCACCCCTGTTTTGCCATGCTTTTTTTCCCCACTCCTGATGGAGCACATTTCCATGGTCTTGCCAAGGCAGCTCACCTCCATCATCTCTGTGAGCCATCTGATCTACAGGAGTATGAAAGGCAGCATCCCTGCTTCATACCTGCAGAGAGAGGCTACCAGTGGTGCTACTCCCATTCTTTCTGACTTGGATCTGACAATTCCTATTTCAAAAATAGCTAAAAAATCCACAATCCAATCTGCTGAAGCCAATTATAGCTTCATTTGAATTTCTGTGCACTGCAGAAAACTGTGGCTCTTGGATACACAATCACTGCCCCACAATGAGACCTTCAGAACTGATGAACCTGTAGGCACATGAGCATAACATATATACAAGCAGTGAAGCTGTGAGTCAATTTATTTTGCCTTTTCTAAAATACAAGAGATGTTCATCCATATAACAGAGTTTAAAACAAATGACAGAGAGCAAGACCAGATAGATCACTCAGCTCCACATACCTATTTTGTTATACTTCCTTTCTAATCCACAGAACTCTCTCCTACAGTCCTGAGCAGTATTTTCTTTTACTTCTCATTGTGTTATGTGAACTTCATTACAACTCTTTAACAAAAGATTTTCTGACTTCATGACAAAAAAGGAAGGCATCAGATTAAGTTGGGGGAGTTCTTTAGATACAAAGGAAATACAGTGATGATGATCCCACCAGCTAAAAACACAATCCTGGCTACTGATTTTGAGGAGGAGGGGTGGCACACACCATTTTGGATAAGTAAGTTTTGGGGAATCCCAGGGAGGGCCTCTGCACATGGTAAATGATCAGACTAGACTATGGTCTCACAAAAGCAAGATTGATTGCCTTTGAATGTGTCTTTGATTCAGACACAGGAAAAGAAACTGGGTCTCATTTTGGTAAGGTCTGTAAGGTGAGGTTCAGGGATGTGGGCAGTAGGACTGCCCTCCCTTCATGTATTCCAGTTACTGCAATCGAGGGCATAGATTTTTAAAATAAATTCCTAGGAGGACAGTTTAATGAAGAAACTAATGAAAGGATAGCATTTAACCAAAACCACTTACTCAATTTAAAGAATAAAATCCTTTGTATTTTTCTTATCTGCTCTGTAGAGCAGATATTTATAATTTTCATTTATTTATATTGAAATCTCACGAAAGCCATGTACCAGATTGTGTCTGACAGACTGACATGTATTATTCCCAAATTCCAGCTAAATGAAGAAGCAAAGAGATGACTAATGCTGAACGTCTTACTTGATTTTACCCAAGGCTGAGAAGCTCGACAAAGAGGGACTGGGTACAAAACAGTGCATGGCTGGAGAGAAAAAACTATACAGTCTGATTGATGCCTTCAGCATAACTCAGATCTATCTCCACGTGAAACAGCAATTCACTCAAACCCTACAGATCCAGAGACCTGGATAAATACAACCAAAAGCTGAACTGTTTCCAGTTTCAGCCTATACTTTGCAAAACAAAACTTACTTTTTCCTTTCAACTTGCTTGGGGTTTTTCCCTTCTTTTTTTCTTGGTCAGGAAAAGGATTACTACATTGCAACTGCTTGTAGCTCTTGACACTCAAAGCTCCTCAATGCTTAATGATGCACCACCACAGTATTTTCAGGAACAACTGCATGTAACAGAGCAGTTCTCTTGCCTTAGGTGTTTCTGTGGCAGGGGATCCAGGAGAATCCAGCAAAGACACCTCTGCAGCAGACTGAACTAAATTTGACATTTAAAAACCCAACCTGGCATTCCGTTATACTGTAGCACAGCATCTCTTAAGCAGAAAGTGGAGTGGAAACAGCAACAACAGAGGCAGAGAAAGGTTTAGCATAACTCACTTGCTGATTTTACACTTGAACTGATACATTTTAATTTGGCTGAAGATAATTTTTTTTTTTTTTTAGAACTTCATAGCCAAGAGCAAGATTAAGCAAAAAGACACAGAAAACAATAAAATATCACCTATGCTTTACCTCTGTCAGCAAGGGCTTTTGCTGGCAGGGAGATAAATCAGTTTGTTTAAACAGCTACTAAGCATTTATGCTCTCAAGACAGAGGTGTTCACCTTGCTAAAGTAGCTCTATCCCTGTGACATTCATTTCTAGCCCAGCCATTCTGGTGACTCACCTGCTTGAAACTCGATTCACAACTGTTTAAAAAACCAAATGGTTACATGTTTGTAAACTCTGAGCATAGCACAAAGCACTATTGAGGCACAAACCTTTCAATTTAAACAGGAACAGAAAACAACTGATCTGATACAAGGCAAAAATTTGATATTGAAGTTGTTGGTTTCTCCACCCTGTACTGAACAATTCATTAGAGCAATTACAGATTAATGGCATCATTCATTTCTATGTTTTCTCTTTGTCTCCTATCCGTTAACAAGAGACAGTAAATATCAGTCACCAGAGACTCACCAGTGGAGTGTCTTTTCCCCCAACGATGCTGAGTCCGAGCCCTGATCGACCCTTAGATATCTCTATAGTCATCTCCTGCCCTGGAACTATAGGACACGTTGCTGGATCCACGGGCAGTGGAGGTGGAAAGGTGCCTAAGGAGGGTGAAAAGGTAAAGAAATAAGTGACAGTATTCAACAGGAAAATTAAAACCATTAAAGGCATCATATGAGAGCAACTACTTAAGCTCTCGTATTTTCCTTTTCACATTTATCAGTCTCAATTGAACTAGAAGGCTACTTTGTGTGACTTTTGAAGTCTCTTAATCAGAATGACTCTAGAGTTTTGGGAGTAAAAGTCCAGAGTAAACACCTGGGAGGACATCTAATTCAGCTATAACCTGTACAATTCAGATCATGATGGTGAGGTGTACTCCACTGAGGACAGATAAGGTCATGCAGGAGCACCATGGAATAGACAGGATGTCCCAGGCTCCTTTCCTTCTATTTTAATTAAAGAGAGGAACAATGCCTTTGTGTGCAAAAGTCAAGTGTCCTAGAATCCTTTTGGTTGGAAGAGGCCTTTAAGATAATGAACTCCAACCCTTCCCCCAGCACTGCCATGTCCCCACTGACCCGTGTCCCTCAGCTCCACATCTCCACAGCTTTGAAACCCTTCCAGGGATGGGGACTCCACCACTGCCCTGGGCAGCCTGGGCCAAGGCTTGACAGCCCTCTCGGGGAAGACATTTTTCCTCATGTCCAATCTAAACTCATCCTGGTGCAACTTGAGGCTATTTCCTCTTGTTCCATCACTTGTAACATGGGAGAAGAGACTGACTGTCTCCTCCCCTCCCCAGGCTCCAACTTCCTGTCAGGAAGTTTTCAAGTGTGAGGTGGTCTCCCCTGAAGAAAAAGAAGCTAAGACACCTTTTTCAAGCTCTCAAAAATTATAAAATGAGAGAAAAATAAAAATACTTTTTAAAATAACTTGTTATGAATGTTCAAAGAAAAAAATCTCATCAAAAGTTCTCTGGAAAAGAAAAAAAATAGAAATTTATCCTTAGTTAGGGTACTGAATATACACTATGTTGGTGGAAAAAATAACTGGTTCATACCACGGCTGGTGACTTCTGCCTCTGGAGAAAGATAAGTAGGTGCTGGCACCAGGGGTATCTCCTGCAAGTTGACTGGTACTTTTGTTGAAGATTTGGCTTGTTTGATCTGCTTGAGGACCTAAAAGCAATGCAGAAGCAAGAGACCAGTTAATCATCACAGGAAGGGATGTTGTGTGGACATTATCGTTAGTTGTTGATTATTGTACCTTACTAAATCCACTAGGCCAATAGAAGGGGAACAAGCAAGAAGCACAGAGAACTGTAAATATTCTCTTCATAAATAAATGGAAAATCAGGCTGACTGGATAACTCTGCTTCCAGAAATGCTCACAAAAGAAGCGAGGACAAGACTTCACCTTTCTCAGTTGTGCCTCTCATACCAAATAACATGGGTTTGGTGGTTTTGTTATTTTTTGCTTTTAAACAACAAAGGACACCCTTGACATTAGCCTGTGCCACTATTGCCACATACATAAAGAGAAACAAGTAATTTTTTTAATTTCAACCAAGAAAATGGTTTTAATGTCTCCCCAGTTAACTCCTTCCCCCCCAAAATAATTCAATCTTCAGCTAGATCAAGCCCCCAGGTCCCCCCCTTTTTGGTAAATATAAAGACACATACATTTTCTGGGAGCTGCTCCTCCATATCATGTTGATCTGCCACCACTGGTTTGTCAGCTTTACATTTCACATCCTAAAAAGTCAAAAAAAAGACAGTGAGGTGTTTTGAAAACGTCTCATCAGCTTAAATAAAATATCCTCCAAGCCTCAAAATTAGGATTCTAGGCAAACACAATGCTATTGCCTCATGTAAGTCCATTTGTAGCTGAAGCCCAGAACTTGAAGCCAGGAAAGCTGGTATGAGAACAGGGAATATCAGGATTTATTAAAAACACACCCAACAGTTTTGAAGGCAGACAATTAAGGAAGGGATCTCAAACAGTGGCACTTCAATCATGGGCTCCACTTGTATCTAATTTCTTTCCATATTCTTGCAATACACTAAAAAATATTTTTTCTCTCTTACTTTTACAACAGCTTTCAGGCAGTTACAGTGTCCTTCCTTTGCTAGCCCTTAGCCAAACTCAGGCCACTTTGATCACCGTATTAGCTACTTACCTTACCCCATGTTAAAAAAAATACATAAACAGCTTATTTTTGAGAAGCTTGAGTAGCAGCTTCAAAAGACAACAGAGGTATTCTGCATCTCAAAAGAATTTCTAATGAAGATGACAATTCCTGCTTTTTTTTTTTTTTAAATAAAAAGTTAAATCAAATTTTAGGTAACCAAGCTTGAAAATACTAGCCTTGTTTCCTAAACTTTTATTATGTTGAATTATGCCAAGCTCAACAGGCAGGGTAGATTTTTTTTTTTTCCCTTTTCTTTTCTTGCATTTTTCTCCAAGCTTGCTGTAACTATTATCCAAATGGATAACAAGAAAAAAAGATAAAGTGGTGATCTCATTGTATTATCAGAGGTGTCAGGGGAAAAATGGGAAGACCGCTTTGTCATTTTATGAGGGATGGTTTTAATGAGCAATGAAGAATTACTCCATGCTTCCCTTTTTCATTCTGATATGTGACTAAAATCTGAAACTTCATCCTGCACATCAAGTAAGCATCAAGCATCACTTCTAAATCTCTCTAATCTTCTCCATTTAGCTCAAGACTATGCTAGAGGTACCTGAAGAAAATATAAAGACTTCCAGGCCCTCAAGCACTGAATGGCACACTCAGCATTTGTCATGAGCCTGTGACCTGACTGATTCTGTTCCCTCAAATGCATCCAAAAGCATTTTTAAGAATCCCCTCCTCTTTGCCAGTGTCTCAAGGACATGTTTTCTGTTTGTGGTAAAGACAGATTATTGTTCCCAGTTCAAATCTTCTAAGGAAAATGAAACCATTCACATACACCCAACACCAGTTTAACTATCAAACCTCCAGGAGACTGACTTAGGGACATGCTCTGTCTGGACACTAAGGATGCACGGTCCTTCAGAGCACACACAACCACTGCTCAAGCCACTTCCACCTTTGTAAGTTAAAAGTTTTGAGAACATCTCAAAGTCCCTTACACCAATTCTTTTCCAGCACCTTGTGGAAAGCTAGAGAGTTGCAGCCCTCAGAAAACCACAACCTTCTATCAGGCCACCTCAAACTTCAGCTAATAAGCACACAGGCTTTGCACAGCACTTCCATTGGCTCCAGTTCAGAAATAAAGTTGTTTTCCTTCCCCCCCCAAGTTATCATCCAAGTGTACAGTGATGTCCATTATATAACTTTATACATTTTAAAGTGATGAAGTGATAACAAAAAGTATCTTGGGAGAGACTGACAAATTTATCAGCAACAAATGAATAGAGAATGATGTGATTTTTAAATCTTTTTTTTTAATTACAGCTGTCACTTGGTGAGACATCCTGCCCATGCTTTGAGCTGTACATACTTGTGGAAGATCTCTGCTGATAAGCACATACTTTTTATTTACTCAGTGAACTTGATCTTACTTGTTGACTTTTACATTCCTGATTTCTCCTGACATATGACTGAGAAATTCAGTAACAATAGTGAAAGTAGCATTAGGCTCTAGTAGCAACCACCATGTTATGAAAAACAAGGCACTGTTTTCTTTTGCCTCAATAGTCACTAAAAGACTGCAAGAGAAATCTCTTTTCCTCAAAATAATGAGCTGTCTTGTGCTGCATGGCAGTGTCAAAGTCTTAATGTCAATACAACTACAAACCCATTTCCTTGCAGTCACAATCAGCACTAATCACAACCACCAGCATTTACAAAAATAAGACACTCTTCAAAATATTTGCCATGTAATTTTAAAATCCTGATGGAAAGAAAACTCTGCCATTATGAAACTGTCTTTTGCCACTGATTTTCACCCATTTATGCCTCTAACCTAAGAGTTGGCCCCACTGAAGGCATTATGGAATGAGCAATTGGATACAGGCAATTGGATATTTCTCTAAATCCACCTCCCAGCCCTTGACGTTTCAGTAGTTATTTATCTGATGGAAAAATCACTGAGTCACCTCTAATCAAACATGCACTGAACGAAGGCAGTGGGTGGGAGTGACACACTCCTGCCTCCTAGTCTCACCAGTGACCTGGTGGGGATAACAACACTGGACTGCTGGACACAGCCTCTGGGTTCCACAGATAAAAAGTCAATTGTAGCAGCCAGTTGCTCTTACATGAACAACGTAAGTGGAAAGATGAGATAACTTGGTATGGACAGTGGGAAAGAAAAACTGAATACTACACACTGATGCTCTCCTGCCTCGAGGCTCTCAACAAATCCATGCCTTTGTCACCTCTTACCTTTCTGCCACTGAGCTCTTTGGGACAATTCCTACCACCAACACTTCATCTTTACCTTTTTTTTATTTACCTTTCAGACTAAAATACTGTAACCTCTACCTTTTGGCTTCACAGTCCCCTTCTTCCTTGCTTCAAATTTAAGAAGAAGCTGCTCTGGGTTTTGTGTTGTTCCAGTGGCATCTTCCCTCCACACCTATCTTGTATCACTGCAAATTTTATTGTTTTTCTCCATAAAATCCATACTTCCTCCAATACCTTTCAAAAAGCTGTACAGTACAATATCCTGCACCCAGAGTTCATTTTTGTACAAGACATTCTATATATTTTTATCCACTTCAGTCTTTGAGCAATCTTTCATATTGCCTCGTAATCCCTCAAAAGTTTCTTGCCAAGCTGAGCAAGAACCCAGGTGAATTACACCTGTAAATACATACAGTAAAACTCTGATTCATTTATATTCCAGCACATCAAAGGAGGATTCTGCACAAATACCAATAATCCAACTTTTTTGTAATCCATTAGGAACACAAACTAATCCATTTCACATGGGTGGTTAATTCTGATGCTGGAACATAACACTTCCTAACTCTTGGGAGTTCATAGATTCATTAATTAAATACTTACTGGCTATAGAATATTATATATATTCAATTCATAGCTGCAAAACCCAGGACACTGTTTCCAGAAGACGTGATGGATCAGGATGAAGATAACTAAGGAAAAACAATCTGGAAATGTCAAGTTTCCTTAGCTGAGGACAGCACACATGAACTGTTGGACAAAATCACTGCCTCAGCAAATTTTAGGCACCTCTAGGTTAGTCACTTCTCAGCATGTTTAGTACCTTTCCATTTTAAACTTTTATCATAGAGTCCAAAAAAAGAGATTAGAGCTGCACCCTGAAGGACTTTCAGGTTTCTGATAATGCTCAATCCTGCCACATGAAACACCAAAAAGCTCCATCTGCATCAATGAGAAGTTCAGTATTTATTACAGTGCACACTGACAGCACCACATTAAACCAGAAGTTATGGGCTTGATGTAGAAATTACTGAGAGTAACTCTATAGCTATGTTATTCAGGAGGCAAGACTAGATTATGATAATAGACATTTTGGCCTTAGAATTTATGAAGCTATGAATATAAATAAGAATCTGATTTACAGACCATGCTTTCTTCTCAAGTTTGTCACACATGGATGGCAAGAGTGGAAACTCAATCCCCTCACTGAGAAAGAACTCAAGAGGGGGCCAAAATGCTACATAAACCTCTTATCTCAATATTTTAACAAATTCTACTGCCTGCTTAGTTCATGAAAGCAGTCTATGTATGTAAAGCTAAGAGCCTGTTTCTGCTCCTACATGTACTGGATATGATCTGGCAAAAGTGGGTTGTAATACTCCAACACAAAGGTGGAGAGAAAAATCAAGACAACGAACCTCCATTTTCTGAGTTCAAATCATCATTAAATACTACTTTAAATCACTTACAATTTTGTTGGATTCCTCATCAGTCATGCTTTTCATAACAGCTTCCAAACTCAGGTCTTCTTCACCACTTGCATGTTCGGTGCCACCATGATCCTGGTAGAAAGGATTGATAACAGTTTTAAAAAGAACTATGATCCCCCATAAAAGCTAAAGAAAAAAATGAAGACATTTTAAACCTTTTCTTTTGTTTTTCTAAACAAGTAGCAGCAGGAAAAAGTAAAAATAACCACAATTAAAGCATCCTGATGTCAGAAGTCAGATAAGTGATACAAGTTTTGAAAGACAGACCTCAGTCTCCACTTGGCTGGCCCAAAGAACCAGGAGGCAGCCCAACACCAGCACTTAGGTTCAGACCTGGATCAACTTTCTAAGCCAGACGAATCCCTATCAATAGTGAAAACTGCTGAGTTTGTCTGAAGAGACCTTCTCCAGACTTGTGTCAGGAAGAAGAGCCTCACGCATGCTCAGCACGTTAAAGGAAGCCCAGTTTCCTTCACACAACCTGAACAGGTTGGTAGCAGCAGGACCAAGTGCTCCAGCCTGGAGGAACTGGTAAAGCCAAAGCTCTTCTGGTCATCAAGCTCAGCAGGCTTAAGCCAGCACTGGAGTACAATCCCCTACTTAAAGTGCAAATGTAGCCTCAGGATTCAGATATTTCTGGACATTGATGTCAGAATACTGCAGATGACATTCAATGACAAGGACTGAAGAACCAGTAAATGAAGGGAATGGCCCAAACAACATAAACGTTTTCACCAAGATGTGCGCCAGAACTTTCTCCTGCATGAAGTTTTTCTCTTTCTATAGAAGATTCCCAGCAAAAATGGCCCTTGAAACACAAAATAGCACCATACTAAGTAGAAAAGCTTGCCTAATCAGGATTTTCTGGTATTTTCTCTAGATAATAACTAGCATAGATTTAAGAAGCATAAGCTTGGACGAAAAATTATTTCCTATCCATGCCAATAAAATTAAGATAAATAGGAAATGGCTTCTTTTCAGGGAAAAGAAGTTAGAATTTAAAGGTTAGAGTATCACTACTTTGGTTACACATAAAATTGAACATGTTAATACTCCTTCCCTTTTTGAAATCAAAGTATCAAAAATTTTTCCAGATTTAGATTATTTTGATTTACTTGATCTTAAAAAACACATTGAAGCCTTTGATCCAAATTTGGAGCTGCTGTCTCTTTCAAAGCAAAATGCACTATGTGCAACAAATCAGATTCCAAGATCTTCAGTCCTAGAAGGAAAATTACTTCTGAATTTTCATTAGACATTTTACATTTAAGTACACAATGAGAATGATGCAGATGTCTCGACCCCACTTGAGCAGGTAAAGTACCTCTGCATTCATACAAAGGCTTACTCTGTTCAGTATTGCAACAAAATATCTCATTTTGTGGCTTTCTGGTGAGTGAAACTTTTAAACCCAGTTATTTTATAGTAATTAATATTTAATATACTTTGCTTCTGGTGGATTGCCCATAGTATTACACCATAACATAGTCTTATCTTAAAGTCTTAAAGCAAGACCCTGTTTTAAGACATATTTACTGTCTAATCACTTTCCATATTAAAATACCTTAATGCAGAGATAATTAACGATAATAAAGAGATAAGATAAAGGAAATGAACACAGTGTATGGTAACCATGGCACCCTGATATTCTGTTATGCTAGCCAGGTTATTTAGTGGGATTTGACAAGTTTCATGTACAGCATGTGTAACACAGAATGTTCAATATTCCTTTGGTATTTTAAAGATATTTGAAGATACAGTGTACAGTCAGTTTTGTTTTTCTTTTTTTAAAGACAGGAACAGCTGACAAAGGAAAGCCACGTAAACTTCTATAGAACAACAGCATCTTTTGGTTGCATTTATTTTATATAATAAGAAGATACCAGCTAGAACTAAAAACCTGCATTTACTTAGAAAACAGACACAATGTAAATAGTAAGAGGTTGTCATTAATGCATGAAACTGAACCCACAGGCATCTATCTCTAAAGGCAAACATCACATATGAGGCTGAGGGTTTTGGTTTCCACATGCCAGTAGAGTCTAATTACCACCATTTGACCACAGCACAGAATGTGCCTAAACAAAGCTTCCTCTTTCACTCCGAAGACACAAATATTAAAGGAAGCTGGGAACAAATGCAGGTATCAAAGAGTCAACAAAAATAAAATGAACTTGGGCTCTGTAAGTTGTAATTTGGAACCCTCCAGCTGCACCTGGGATGTGCTGGGAGAACAAAAAGCCAAAAGCACTGTCCAAAAATGCCTTGGATCCAAAGAACAACCAAGCAGCTCTTGCCCTGTACAGCCCTACATCTGTATGGAAGTAGCCACCAGTGGTAACATAACCTGGGAAGCAACAGCAAGCATGCAAACAGGAGATTCATCTGGTGTTACCTGGAGTGGAGCAGTGCTGTGGGGATCACAGCAATGCTCACTGAAATACCAGTTCAGTGCACATGAATTTATCAATTCCAGGCAAGACCCAACCCCAATTGAATTATAAAACAACTTTTGTTTTATTAGCTCAAATAGAAATAGAATTAAAAATCAACAGCAAGGTTAATCAGGTACTTTATCTAGAAAATTTGGTTACACTGTATGGTGATGTCAAAATGAAAACAATGTGGTGATGCTGCATGGGACTTGTGGTGCACAAAAGAGCAATCAGTCTGCATAGGGGCTGAAATAGGAACTAGAATGAAGGAAAACACTGGCAACATGACCACACCAAGGACTGTGTGCTACGACACTGTGCACTAGAGCTCACTGCTGAAACAGCCCTTGTCTGTTATGAGAGGTGGATGCTGGGGCACAGGACAAAGAGGTGGATCAGGGCTCTCAGCTAGGCTGGGATTGTCTCAAGGGGCTCTTGTAATGCAAGCCATGTACCCAGTGACCTCTTTTACCACAGATAGTTGCTGGTCATCCCTGCTGTGTTTTTGGAGATGCTAATGGGAGAGTATTTTGAGGGAAAAGGAACTTAGAAGGTTGGAGCTTTCCCCTGAAAAATGCTCCTCTCTCTTCTGTAGGAGGATATTCATGTTCCAGGCAAAAGATGCTCACCACCACTGCTCTAACCAGCTGAAACAGGAGCAAGATAGGAGATGGCAAGGTTTTGTTTTGGAGACTTTTCCTCCCCCTGTACAGCAATAACCTGTTGTTCATGCCATGTCAGCCCTTTCAGTAAAGAAGAGACAGGGGAAACTATGCCTATTAGGTCAAGCCCCTACCCAATGCATTTTATGATTCAGGGTTTCATTAGACAAGGTGCTCAAACTTATAATGAACTGCTAATTATGATTAATCTAATCTATCAATTAAAAAACCAAAACAAAACAACTGCTCATAAACCTTACCTCAATGGACGAGTGGGAGCCAGAAGGCAAGGGGAAAGGAGTAACAGCCATCTGATTGACTGCATCTTCACTTCTGTAAAACAACCAGCCAGCAACATATTACACACTGAATCACAATGGCCAGACTTCCCTCTGGAGCTGGTTTTGCCCACTAAAGAAATACTCTTACCAGCATAAAAAGTAACTGTTATCAGAAGTTAGAACTTAGAAGAGCATTTCATTTTTGCTTTTGTTCTTTGCTAGCAAACAGTTTACATCCCTCCTTGGGATCACAGCAGTTTCACATGGGACATACTGACATCACATTCTTTGGAAATCTAATTTTGTGTGGATTATCAGAGGAGGCAGCTGGAGTTTATGGTCCCCACGCATCTACAGACATGTTGATATTTCTGTAGCCTCCTCTACTAGTGCCTACATTTGTAAACTGCTTGTTTGTAGCCTAACATTCACACTACTGAAATAAAATACCAGTCTTACTACAACGGCTTGTTTTTTTCTTTTTTATTCATATATGTTGTGGTCTTTTCTAAAACATTCAGTGGAAAAAACTTTGAAAAACTCTCATAAAAGGTAGGAAGAACAGAGGTGAACAGTGATTTCCCCTACATAAAGTGCATTATTTTTCCCAAGATGCTTATTACTTATGGCATCTTTTCCTCTGTCCTCTTTAAAATGCATTCCCAAGTTGACATCTGATTACTTTGTAACTTTCAAAAGCCTGTTGCTTTTTTTTTTTTTTTTTTTTTTTAATAAATAGCATTCTGCTTTGCTAATGCTTTTCCTCAAGTGCCATTTAAAATTATTTGGCTTGTGGAATTAGCTCTGCATTTTTTTTGCCTCTGTAGAACCCAACCAAGTAAAATACAATTTCAGTGATATTGTTTAAGGCAGATCTGAGGCATAGGAAAAAACAAGACGCCAAATTTTGCTACAAAAACTGTACTGATGCACCTCTTTCTTTTGGGGGTGAACAGTTCTCACAGAACACAGAAGCCAGGAACATGATGCAAACCCCATGTTTTAATGATTCAGTACTATCAGCATAGCCTCTGCTCACTGGAACGTGCCGGGGAGGAATCAGTAACACTCCAGCTTTGCAGATACAGATCTTGAGATGAAAGCCCATGATGTCTCATGCAGTGGGTCTTCTGGGTTTGATTTCTGCTCCTATCTCCTACCTTCTAGGTTACTGTAACACAAGCAGGTTTTTTTCCTCTTTAATTTCTATCATAAAATATTAGACTAGAATGTGTTTAAAAACCTTTTATGGAAGTGCTTGAAAGAATAAAAAAGTCTCATTTTATCCCTCAAGAGTTAAACACATGAAGCTAGCATGTTCTGCTCCCTGAAAGACAAACACTGTAGACCAACAGCTCTCAGCAGAGCAGGGTATGGGAACTCCAGTCACAGGCATTTGCAATGATAAATCCTGCAGGCAAAGGTTGGTGAATTAATTTATTTATCTACAAACAAACAGCCACACAATTCAAAGGAGTTGGTTCTGTGCTGTTCACTTTTGTACTCACTCCCAGCCTCTCCTCTGGGCCCTGCTCAAAGCCTTGCAGGAGTCAGAGACCATGCTAAGATCAGAACCAGAGTGGCTCACGTTGCAGAGACGTGTGTGCAGAGGGCCAGGACAGAACTGGGGCATGCAAAGAATCCAGCCCATGAATTTGATAAGCATTTCACAATTTCCACGAGCATTTCCCCTGGAAGACACTTAGGCAATGGCATTTTCCCTCCTCTTATCTTTGTGAGACATCAATCTGATTACATGGCTTTTCTAAGAATGTAAGAATAAACCAGCAAACATGTCTAAGAGACCCAGCAATTTTTACTGGGCTGTAGAGCTTTTTCTGACAATAGCTTATACAAAGCCCAAACAACACAAAAACTAACACCACTTCTGCAGCTTCCCACACGTGCTGCATACCTTGCCATAAGGAGCAGACCTGAAAACAAGGCATGTACAAAACTTTGTAAGAAATATTCCAAAAATTGCCAGACAGAAGCTTCATGACTTGCATGACAAAGTGGGGTGTAGTTAATTACACAAACTAGTTTCTGCTTCATACACACACACAACACATGTTTTTTTTCCCCCCAATCACTAGGCAAATATATTTATGCAGTTCTAAATGGACGGCCATTTTTATTCCAAGCAATAAAAAACCACTTAAAGTAATTCCCTGGGAAAAAAAAAATGCAAAAAATTAAAAAAACCAAGGTTAGGAAGTGTCACAACTTGTAATCTCCCCCTGCTAGGACTCGTACATATTTAAATACTTTAATGCTGCTTCAAAGGAGAATGCTTCAAAGCAGAATCAAAGTGGGAACATATTTTAAAGTGACAGATCTAATAATAAATTGCACTTTCTGCTCTCCACTTCCATAAGTGTCCTCAACTAAAACATGAATTTATTTACAACTAAAAGGAGCAATCATTTTCTTTTGATGCAGAAGCAGACAGCTCAGGAGTCTGAACACCATATTCAAATGAGCATTCCATGTATTTGGATAGCTGCTACACAACCACCTCCAGGAAAGCTGTTCTCAGCTACCAGTGCTCAACATTGCTGCAGGTTAAGGTGTCTAAACCCCTCACAGCTTCAGACTCCCAGGGTCAAAGCAACACACAATGTGATTTATATGACAGGGAGGCTCAGATGCTCCCCCTCTATTATCTGCAAAAATGACAGACATCCACTGCTCCTCTTCCAGCTCTGGCACTGGTCTGTACAAGATGCTGGGATGGCAGCCCACCTCCTTGTGGTGCTTGAGCACCAGAGAGCTGTTTATTTTTCATCAGTTACGTATAAACTGAACAGGGAAGGAATTCAGCACTCCCCCCACAAATACATTTATTGCTTCTAGCCTCTCAGGATGAGTTTCTGAGTGAAAATGGGAACTAGACCTGCTTGGAGGTTAGAGTGTCTATTGCTTGTACCAACATCCCTAGCCATAGCTGATACTGAAGAGACAAGAAGCCTTCCTCACTGCAAACATGACACGAAGCAAGATATAAGTGGCTAAGACTTTGTAACTTTTAGAAAAGCACATACCCTTTCAGCTTTTTTCATTAGATTGCCACACTTTACTACATTTTACTTCCTTTCTAGTCTAAATAGGAACTCTGGACATTCCCCATCCTTTCTCACTGACCAAAGAGAATACTTCTGATGTTTTGCTCCAACAACTACACCTCTGATGAAGGAGAATATGTGCAGCTTAGGCAAGGACAAATAGTTATTATTGACTAATAATAAACCACCATAAATATTAGGCACAAAATAAGCCTGAAGAGAGCAATATGCAAATCCAAATCCAAAGGGATTACTCATTCCATGCTGCAGAAAGTGAGCCTGGAGGGAAGGCTGAGTGGTGTGCTGTGAGGCTGCCCTGCAGTGCTGAGCTGCGCTGACCAGAACGCTGCCCCTGGCACGTCAGAGGAATGTCACACACAGCTGGAGTGGTCTATGGAGCATTCAGAAAGTTATCTTTCTAGGGATGATAACCAGAAGTCACAGCCTCAGCCAAATTCAGTTGTGTGGGCTTTTTTTTCTTTTATCTTTTTTTTTTCTCCATTTGCTCATCAACCTCAGCCTTGTAATTCTAGAATTTCTGTTCCCTGTCTTCCTCAGAGGACATTTTCTGGTTTCCATTTTACTTACTCTTACACCTCTCAGGTCTGTGATGGTATAAGCTCATTGTCACATAATGCTAAGAATATCCTTGGTAAGCCTGCTGAGTGAGATTCATTACCTGCCTAAAGCAGAGCACCTTGTCTAAGATAATGTCCAAACTTCTTCTATGACAAGTACAAAAATCAAGATAAATCCCAAGCCAGATCCACTCAGAAGGACAATTCATCCCTGCACCTATATGACCTAATTCAGGACTGAATTGCTCTTTGGAGGTTCTTCACAACTGTTGACTAATCACAGAAGTCCAGATGACATCTAAATGTCTAAATTAAGGGAGATGAACTTCCAGCCAAACTATCTGCAACTACACAGTAAATCAACACTGAAAGATAATTTGACAACAGCTTTGTAAGGGGTTGTGGATGCTTTTGGGGAAAACAAAGCACGTCAAGAAAAACCTGATAGCTTCTATGCAGTTGCATGACATCCCAGTTGGAACAGATCTGCAGACCAAGTGAATGAACTTTTGTCCAGTAACCCTTAGGACTTCCACTGGTTGTGACACCAAGGCATAAAGTCCTGAAGATTATTGAAATCTGATATTGTCCACATCCTGCTTGTTAAACAAAAAAAAAAAAGGAAAATCAGGTCAGGGTCTCATATTTTCTCATCTTTGTTTTCCCCCTAGAAGTTCCTTTGGAAAGGAGGAGCTGCAGGGAAGCTGCAAAAGGCACGCTAGGCTCTGCCTTCAGCTGGGTCAAGGCAAGACCTTTGTATTGTGCATCTTGAAAAATCTCTCCTGCTAACAGCAAGAACAGTCTTGTTCTCCATTTCCCCTCCATCCACTTCTAACTATGGGAGAGCCAAATGCATACAGATATTTTAAATGAGCAACTAATATTCATATAAACTGCAACTTAGGTCATCAAAGGTTTGAAAGAACCCAAATTACTTAACTTCCTCAACCATGCACTTGTTCCCACATGTGTATGACAGCAAGGAGGAAACAGCTCTGAGGAAAACAGGAAAGGTTCAGACTTGCACGCACAGTGTCTGGCAAGAACTTATTTTTAAAGCTTTCCCACATGAAAGAACCTCAACAATCAAAGCAAGTAAAACCAGAGTTTATATTATTAAAATATGACCAATTATGTAAGTTAGAACAAATTTTAAAGCAAAAATAATTTCTAAAGCATGACAGTATTTGAGGCTCTGGCACGTAACACACAACATTACATGCAGAGGCTCTAAAAGAAGAACAGTCACAGCAATGGACTCACCCTACCAGTCCTCAGAGTATAAGGATCTTTGTCCTTTGCATGTCACCATAAGTAATGAGAAATTGGACTTTACAATTACACCTTGAAATGGAAGGAGGGGTTAGGTGACAGAGATATGTGGGTTTCACTGGGAAGCTCCAATCCCATCACCAGAAAGCAATGCTGAGGGAACGAATGGCTGCAGTGTGGGAGGATGGCTCTGGACAGCTAACAGATGGGATTTCAACACCTAAAATCCAACAGCAGTTTACTTTTAAAGCATTCCTCATGTTTCATCACACCACAAGACAATTTTCTGTTAGGAAAAAAGGTATACCAAAGAATGAATCACAGCACTGGATACATTGGGATGATGGTTTGAAATCAGTGGCATCCACTTTGATTCAAGCATTCAAACTATAATTGATCTGCTTATTATACTAACACTGAAGCACCAAAACAGACTAAAGGCAGTTAATTGAGCATGGAAGAAACACTGAATTCACTGAACGATAAAATTCTCACTGTAAAAGAACATTCTGATACAAACTGGATTTCCTACTGCAGATGTAAAATCTAATTACATTGTTTTATTATGCACCTTAAAAGGATGGACTTAAAAAGGATGCATGAACAAAACCCACAAAGGATAAGAAACCCATTCTATTTTGGCAACTAGGGCACAGAGCCTCCTACAAGTCCCTTTCTCAGGTTACTACCTGGATAATTCCTGTTGTTGAAGGCTCAGACTGAGAAGTTCAAAAGGCAGCTAAGACGTTCATACACCCTATTGCCACTGACTTTCACCAGATCTTCCATAGTGTCATGACTCCTTTTGACTTTGGAAAGCTGCAGTCAACTTTTTAGTTATTTCTGATATTCAGAAGTCTAAAAGACAGCCAATATTTGGCATGGTAGCTTAGAAGTTAATACAGCATCTGTACAACGTTGAGGTCAGACAAAATGTGACTGGACACTAATGAAAGGAAGCACTTGGTCCGAGTCATTTCAACTCAGGAAAATGTTTTTGATAAACTTTTTGATATCTGTTTGATAAACTGGGTGAGCAGGTTAAACGCCTTCCAATTGGTTAATGTAGAAGGCTATAAAGCTCAAGATGCACTGAATCTAAAAAAAAAAATTAAAAAAAAAAGGAGAAGTGACACTATAACTGCAAATCTTTTACATGCTATTATGAGTTCATGTAATTAATGAGACCACTGGGAAACTGTGCTGTGTTAAGACCTATATTTTGGAATCTGGCCAAAATCAACTGTTTTAAACAATCATCGTCAACTTAATTGAGGAAAAGATGCTCATAAACCAGAGCAAGAAGCCTTCAAATATAAGCAGACATCCATGAGTCTCTCAACACTTACTGCACTGTCTCATCAGCAAAAATTTCAGGAAAGGGTGGGAATGCAATTGTAACACTACCTGGGTATAAAGAAAGTGTGAACAGATTTTTACAGCGCAGATGGTAACTTAGGATTTTGGTAGAAGGTCAAAAAGGCTGAGGACACGTACTAATCTTTATTTTTTCCTACAAGAAATAAATTGAACACAACAAACTCCATGTTATTTAAAGATAGCTATTCCAGTTCTCATAGAAAGGCTTTTCTGTGCCCAGGAATTTCTGGGTTTTTTTTGGTAACTGACTAAAGAGTTTGTGGAAACATCCCCCTGCCCTGCACATGAACCAAAACACCAGAAATAGGAAAACCTTGATGCTGTTTCCTGCTTCAAAGTAAAAAGCAGCACGCTTATCGCCGAGCATCCTTCATCTGAGGAAAATAAGGCCTTGGGATATCAGAGGGCACTTCTTAGTAATAACCCAAGAGTCCCACCAGTTTTGCTTTTCTGTGCTAGGTCAG